TTTCTGAGATTACATGTGATCTCACCTTTGTTTAGTTTATCTTTTCACAGATTCTCAAACCTAGTTTATTAAGACTGGGCTAGTGATTCAAGAGTTTTCATGTCTTATCTATCAATCTATCTATCTATCTGTCTATCTATCTATCTATGTATCTATCATCTACTTATCCATCATCCATACATCTATCACCTCTCTCTCTCTCTCTTTCTCTCTTTCTATATATATATATATATATATATATATATATATATATATCTATAACCTTTTTCTATAACTCTAAAACTCTAAATATATACATATATATCGCCTATATTGATTGGGTAAGCCTAACTGGAATGAGACAGTTTGAATTGTTATCAACACACAAAAACATATGAGCCAAGTAGTATCCATCTGAATTAGAGAAATGTTAATATATATTGAATGGACCTAGTTGAGTAGATGATGTGAATATATGGTATGTGAAAGTGATGTTTAATAATGCCACACAGAAACATTTGTAAGTGAACAGATGAAAAGACCACGAAAATTTACACTGTTTGTAGATTGAAATAAAAAGATGTACCCCTCTCTAATTATACATAAAATAATACTTGTGATTTTTTTTATTTTCCCTGAAAGGTGAAGAATAATTCTGGCTTGAGGTAATGGATTAATATCTGTCTTTATTTCCTCTATTTTCTAATTTCCGATTTCAATGTGATTACAGTGGAGTATAGCAATAAAATATTTTTAAAATCCCAAAGACAAGGGAAAGAATACAAAGAACCACTTGTAGAGAACTTTCCACACATTCTTCAAAGGCACAGATGATGGAGATTGGTCATGGGAGATTTATAATGAGATATGTCAGTGTGTGTGTGTGTGTGTGTGTGTGTGTGTGTGTGTGTGTGAACATCATTTTTCCACTGTTAAATTTGAAGGTTTTAATACCAGTTAAACTAATCGTTTTTAAAAAGTGAGTAGTGGATTTGATCTTTAGAAAGACTTCTATTTCTCTAAAAAGATATGTTTAATGTGTTTGGGTGTTTGCATGAATGCATGCCCCACATGTGGAGTATCCACAGAAGCCAGAGCAGGACATTCAATCCCAAGGAATAGGAGTTACAGATGGTTGTGACCCAGAATTAAGTGTTGAGAACTGAACCTGTTTCCTCTGTATGAGTAATAAATATTTTTTAACTGCTGTGGCATGTTTCCAGCATAAGACTGAGACATTCAAAGAAAATCTGGATAGATGAAGACAATGACTTAAGTTTTCACTTCTTGGGACTGTGTCTCACTATGTAGCTCGTCTGTCCTGGAATTCACTATGTAGATCAGGCTGGCTTGAACACATTGAGATCCCCATACCTCTTTGTCCCCAAATGTATACACTATTCCATCTGGCTTACTGGCATATATTCAAGGAGATTTTATTAAATGCCACAGATATTATGGTACTGGATTTATAGAAGAAGAAATTATGCCTTAGTCCATCACTTATCTTCCAGGAAACAGAATAAAATGATCATAATATTGCAAACATTTACATTTAGCCTAAAATTAATTACCTCATAATCAAGTTACTAAACACTTTACTGGACACTCTGCTCTCTGATTACAGAAGAAACAAAATTTCTATGGTTAAGAAATACAATTGTAATAATATATGGAGTATGGAAGAGTGATTGTCTCCATCTTTTTAAAAAAGTAGAATTATAAAGGATTTCCACAATAAAGATGAAAAATCTCTGTCTTGAAGTCACAAGTCAAAATCCATGAGTTTTCATAAAGCATACTAGTTAGAGGCATATATAAATAAGAAACACAGGCAGGTGATGTTATCTAATTTTTCAGCTGACAGAGTAGGAAGTCATTAAACAATGCCTATAATTGATTTTTAAAAGTAGAAAATAAATTTTTAAAATGCTGATTTCACCAATTCAATGCCTTAAATTTAAACTGTTAAATGGGTTAAACTCTGAGAGAAAAAACTAAAAGAGACCGTTGCTTTCCATTTCAAGCTCTTTAGAAATGTTAAGCGCACTATTTTTTTGCCACATGTGTCTGATATCTAATTTGTAATTTAAAATGAAGTGGATATAAATCCTCATAGACACTAAATTTGAAAAGTTAAAGAAATTACATTTATATATTGTATGTAAGATTATTTCCAGGTTTTATGTGCCATGTATAGCTAGGAAATGGACAGAAACAAGAAAGAGTCACAGATTAGAGAAGCGAAACCTGTGGATTGCCTGTATTTTTTAAATATTTTGAGTATGAGACTTAGACCAAACTTGAATGTTTTAAACTTCCAGTTCCACTTTACAGTTGGCTTAGCAACTTCTCTGTCTTTACATCTTTAAACTTCAAAAAATGAGAATACTATGAATTATATCATTCATTCATGTATTTTCTATCTCAACAAATAGAATCATTTTTAAAAGATAAAAAATGGGGAGGGAGAACATACAGAACGAGAAAGAGGACTCCAGAAGATGGAAGATGTACTGAAGGAAAGGGTGAAACTGAATAACATCGAGGTTGTTTCAGAAGCAGTAAGAATTTGTATTATTTTATATTAACTAAATTTACATATGATATACATAAGTTTATGTGCATATACACACAAATAGATCAAACAAAGCTATGCCAAATCTAACAGCACCAGGTGTGAGAACCCACAGTTTGAGCTGTTGTTCTGGGGTGACCAAGAGCCTCTCCAAACACTGCAGTGTGTTGTTATTTTTCTTTGTTGCCTCTTAGAGCTTGAAGTTAAGTTCCTGTTGATGAAGATACCGTGTAGCTTGACCACAGTATTAGGAGTACTTGAGCTAAATGTGATCCAAAGCCTCTTTGCTGGGGACTAGTTTTCATATTATCAGAAGTGTTATGCAAATTGCTGATGGAGAGAAGCAATCAATTGTGCTACCTAACCAATACCAATGAATCACACAATGACTAGACTAACATGGTAAAATATTCCTAAATGTGCATAACTTGTTGCTAACCAACAGCTCCCTAATTCAACTCAAAGCCTACTCAACAAGAAGGAAATTATGTCTGGTACTATAAACCTGATCAATATCTTGGGGGGGGGAAGTTAGGTTATAGATTTTAGAGTAGAACTTACTACTGCCACTGTACTAGATCAGCTTAATTGCTAGTTGCTTTCAAAACACTTCCTCATATTCCTTCGGGTCAGTCCCCCTTTAACCCCTTGTCATGGCAGCATCTTTGGCAGCATAAAGACACCATTACAGAAAACAAACAAAAAATGCAAAGAACATCTGATTGTGGGGTTCCCAGCCCCACCCAACACATGTATAACAAAATTCTTGCACCTAGCCCTCAGGAAACATCATGGGAAAGGAATGGAAAGACTGTAAAAGCCAGAGGACCAGGGAGTCTGCTGTAAGATTGTATCTCCAATCTTTATA